GCAAAGGAACGGCACGACGGCCCTCACACGTTCGGTCCAAGAATTACCTCCTCCATAACATCTCCCTCTCCCCAGCACATCAAGAAAAAACCCCAAACCCAAAACCCAAAACCCAAACCAATACAGAAGATACTACTCATACCAACACCCCTAACCCCTCAAATAAACCCAATCAATCTCCGAAAAAAATAAACATAATGATCCGACCTCCCCCACTCAATCTCAATCTCAATCTAAACCCCCTCTCCAACTCCAACTCCAACCCCCACACCAACAACTTCCTCATCCCGGCCCCCACATTCGAGAAAATGAAACAGGAAATTCGAGAATTCAAAAAATTAGGCGGGAGAGGTTTTGTATTTGGGATTTTAAAAGAAGAAGAAGAAGAAGATCTTCATTCTCACAAAGGAGAAGGAAAGAAAGGAAAAAGAAATCTAATAATCGATCAAGAGCGATGTAGGGAATTGCTGAAAATTGCACGGGAGGGAGAGGATAGGGAGAGCGTTCGCTGTACGTTTCATAGGGCTTTTGATCGGATTGATAGGGAGAGGATGGGGGAGCAGTTGGAGGTTGTGAGTTTTTTTTTTCTTTATCTTTAGCTTATTGCATTCATATTGTATTCATATCCCACTTCCCCTTCCTTCTCCCTCTCCCCCAAATCCCTTTCCTTCCCCCCTCATCCTCACCCCCCCGCCCACCACCAAACCCCCAATCCCCCCCTCTTTCAACCCACCAACTAACCCTCATCCCCTCCTTTCCCCCCAAAAGCTCATAAACCTCTCATTCACCTCCCTCCTTACCTCAGGGGGCTCCCCCACCTCCACCCAAGGAAAACTCCAAATAAAAACCCTAGTCCATCAAGCCTCAGGACGCATCGAAATAATCGTAGGAGGAGGCGTACGAAGCCATAATTTAAAGGAATTGATTGATGAGACGGGGGCGCAGTGGTTTCATAGTAGTGCTGTTACAGGAGAGGGAGAGGAGGTGGATGGGGAAGAGGTGAGGAGGTTGAGGGAGATTATGTGCACGTATGGGGCTGGTTCTGTTGGGAATCTATTGTAAAACGATGATATTTACAAAATGACCATGTCAATCACTTATGAAACAAATTTTTTCACCACAATGTCAAGAATTCCAAAAGGATGAAGTTCGAAATTTCATTTTGTATTATTTTTTGTATAGAGCAAAGATCCATTGTATCCGAGCGACTATAGTATATCTATCTTAGAATTGAATTTGAATTATCGAGGACGTGACATGAGCAATATGAGCAACTTTGAGGTCCAAAAATATTTGGTCCACCAATAGTGGAAGAGAAAAAAAAGGAAGAGTGTTACCCTGTCCTTGGAAATGATTGTGTCCTTTACTCCTCCATCCCCTGTCTAGATACCCCATCTAGATACCAATTATTTCATTATCGTTAATTTGTTCGAGAAAGAGGAAATAGTCATGATCATGAAGTTTACATCAACAAGGCTGCAAGACCAGCAACGGCCATAGCACCGAAACTAGCATCAAACTTCATGGCAGCACCAGTGAATTGAGCGGGGAGCGACGAGGTAGCGCTGGCGACTGTAGCAGGTGTTGATGCCAAAGTGGTAGCTGGGGAAGAAGTTGCTGCTGCGGAAGTTGGTACTGGAACGGTAGCAACCGGGACACTGGCGAGAGGGGTACTGGCAACTGGGACGCTAGCAATTGGAACGCTGGCAACTGGGACGCTGGCAACTGGAACGCTAGCAACTGGAACGCTAGCAATTGGGACGCTGGCAATTGGGACGCTGGCAACTGGGACGCTGGCAACCGGAATAGTCGGGTAAACTGGAGTGCCAACAGAAACAACTGGTGCAGAGCTAGATGATACAGATGGAACTGGTGTGACGTACACAGGAGTTCCAACGCTGACCGTAACGACTGGGATCGTGACAGTTCCAGGAGCTGTGATTGTGTGGGGAACTGAGCTGACGATAATGGTGGTTGGCTCAGGGCAGTAGGTGGTCAAGTAGGAGACGGTGATGGTGCTTGGAGTTGGCTTTGCAGATGGGGTAGTCTGGTAAACTGGAGTCGACACCGAGACAGTTACAATTGGAATGGTAACAGTACCCGGAGTTGAGATTGTGTGAGGGACTGAGCTGACGGTAATTGTGGTTGGCTCTGGGCAGTACGTGGTCAAGTAAGAGACGGTGATAGTACTTGGTGTAGGAACAGCAACCGGAGCAGTGTAAGAAGGAACACTTGAGAGTAGTAGCTGACTGTGCATGGGCTATTACAAACATGATTAGCA